TTGATTAGTGACAATGATACTTGAACAGGACCAAGGCTATCACACAACATTAAGGACGGACTGCATCTTCTATGCATTTAAATCACTCGGCATGACAGCTGTCCCCATATGGCAAATAGTTTGTGCAAGCAGCTCACTGTGTGGACTGGGTAACTTTCTCAATCAATACCACTGCAGACCTTTTTTGGCTGTTTGTGACAGTATGAAGACAATCGCACATGAGGGCTGCTGCCACCATGTGGCACCTACGACTTGTGCGCCAGCTTAAGTAGAGGCATTCTCTTAGTGCACTAATAGCACTGACTGTATGAAATGCTCCGTTGCAGCACCCATCATTACAAAGTGGGCACTGTAAGTGACAGCATCTCCTCCTCTACAAACTCTGAAGTTTCAGAGATCAAATTCACTGTGATCAGCATGTTTGGGACTGTGAAGAATATTCTCTTAGGTCACATGAACCGGTGATTCTTGAGGAGAGCAGCGCTTTTCCTGTGGCCCTCGCGTGTGATATTCTTTGTCCTACAGACTGCAGTGAGACCATCTCTTTTCTTGTAGTACCAGAGAGCCTAGACTGTCACTCAGGGGAGCGTTCTGGCGTACAGGAATGTGCTTCCATGCAGTAAAGAACTGTTCTTGATGTCGTTCTTACTCATTCTCTAAACCAATGGTAAAAGGTAAAGGTAAAGGTTCCCTTGCTCGAAAGCCAGTCGAATCCGACTCTAGGGTTGCGGTGCTCATCTCCGTTTCAAAGCCGAAGAGCCAGCGCTGTCCGAAGACGTTTCCGTGGTCATGTGGCCGGCATGACTAAATACCAAGGCGCACGAAACGCTGTTACCTTCCCACCGAAGTGGTACCTATTTATCTACTTGCAATCTCTCGCTTTCGAACTGCTAGGTTGGCAGGAGCTGGAACTAGAGACGGGAGCTCACTCCATCACGCGGCAGCTCGGTCTCGAACTGCTGAACTACCGACCTTCCACAGCCTGCAGTTCAGCGTCTTAACCACTTGAGCCACCGCAGCAGGTAGACACAGCGCTAACACTGAACACTTTGTAAACCACTCCGAGCCCTCGGGAAGAAGCGGTATATAAGTTAAATGTGTAATGTAATGTAATGTTATTTCTACTGATCTACTGATGCATTTATTTGTATGTACAGAAGATTTTCGCACACATATACACACACACACACCTTCAACACCCCTTTCCAGCCAAAATCTTAGCAGAAACGTCACCAAGTGTTCCAGCAGTGGGTGTGGCTCTGTGAAAGGGGATGGAGATAGGCTTGGTTTCCAAGGCCTCTTTATTTGTAGGAAATTCTGTGCTGGGAGACAAGCAGAGCATCAGAAGCCAGGGCCACCGATGGATGGGATTAGGAATGAGCAGCTTGGCTTTAAAACAACAACGACAGTGATTAAACAAAAACCATCTGGCTGTTGGGTTTCTTGATTCCCGATACCGAATCACATTTCAGCCCATCTAAATGGTTCAAAAAGAGTTCCGCAAGGTCCAGGAGAGAAAGAAGATGGAATAAGTGTCAAGAACTATATACTAGATGCTGTTAGATATTTCAGATTGGCTACAGATCCTGTCAAGGGAATGGATCCATCTGTCAAGTGATAGATGGGTGCCTTAACAGTTGTTTCTTCACCCCACCCCTAGATTGCTAGCTGGACCTGCTAGGCCTGCTCCTCCACTCATGTCCATTTTCTTTCTCTGTCTTCCTCTCATACTGTTGCTGTCTCACCTCCCTTGTATGGCCAAGGAGAGGGAATGATTGATAGGTGGAAGGCTATTTTCATAAATGGTCTCCGAGGTGTGAGGAGTGAATTCAATCTATCAAGAGGAAGATGGGTACATTCTCAGCTGTTAAGAAGCTCCTCGGGAGACAGGGACTGTGCTTTTTAAGCCAGAATTTGGAATAGATTTGGGCCAAAAAAAAAAAGGAACATTATAGTTTAGAGCAGAAAGAGAGACAGGTTGGTGGATTTATGTGATAGAATCATGATCCTCTCTGTCTGCTTCAATTTGGCTCAGTATCGAACATTGACTTGTAATTTCTTCCCTTCATAGGGGACCAAAAAGAAATTGATTTATCTGAATTTTAGGAGAGTTATTTGAATTGCAGAAAAAGTGCAGCTGTCTAATAACTGTTGGTGCTGTTGCTATTTTGTTTACATGTAACAAACACCCAATAGTTAAAAACTTAATCAATAGTCAGCTAGCACCAGGAAATTGTGTTTTAAAGTGACACAAAGCCAACTTCTGTCGTAAACTATTTTTAAAGGGTAAGTCTCCTACTGTTTCTTGGAGATCAGCAAACCGTGACATCTGACAGAGCAGGGTGTGTAATGCGTTCCAAAGAATTCCCTGCCTCAGATCGCTCAAGAAGCTGAGCTTCCTTCGAGCCAAGGCACAGACATTGAAATCAGCCTGAAGCTGGGTTTCTTATCACGCTCTCGGAGCCCTGGGAATGAAAGACAGACCGTCTGCCCCGAGAGATTTTATTGCCCCTGGTGTCTGTATTGCACTGCCCCTTGCAGTGTTACGGATTGTGCAAAGACATACAGGATGTACTAAGTGCCTCTTCTGCGACAGTACAAAGTGTATTTTCATAGGTTGTTATGTGATGTTTTGTTGGCATTCCTAAAAAAAATAATAAATGCTTACTTTTGGTTTGTTTGTGCAGCTGAGCCTGCCTTGATCTGAGATTCTTTACTGGGTGTTCCTAGTCCGGTCACAAACTGACAATTCTCACAACTCTTAGTTAGAAATTTTGGTAGCTGAACAGGTTTGAAAGGGATGTAAATGGATAATGCAGAGGGCATACCCTTGGAACCAGGGCTTTTTTTTCCCCTGGGGGAATGCGCTGGAACGGAGTTCTGGAACCTCTTTGACAAAATTCTTTTAAAAATGTTTTTATTAAAGTTCATGAGTTTTCAATTGTTCTTGAAAAAGAGCAGTTTGTGTCAGAGTTCTCTCAGCCCCACCCACCTCACAGGGTGTCTGTTGTGGGGAGGGGAAGGGAGAGGAGTTTGTAAGCCGCTCTGAGACTCCAAGTGAAGGGCGGGGTATAAATCCAATCTCCTCCTCCTCCTCCTCCTCTTCTTCTTCTTCAATATTTGTTCAGATTTTATGATTGTTTTATAATTATTATTTTATGTGTTTGACTTTTATGTAAGCGACCCTGAGCCTGCTCTGGCGGGCAGGGTGGGGTATAAATTGAATAAATAAATAAATAAACAAACAGATTGAAAACTTCATTTCCCTCTTGAGAATTCCGGCATCTCTTTTTCCAAAGACAGACAGACAGACAAACGGGAGGGGGGGGGGAGAGAGAGAGAGTTGTGCACTCTTTTTGTAGCAGGAACTCCTTTGCATATCAGGCGACACACCCCTAATGTAGCCAGTCCTCCAAGAGCTCACAGTAGCCCCTGTAAGAAGAGCTCTGTAAGCTCTTGGAGGATTGGCTACATTAGGGGTGTGTCGCCTGATATGCAAAGGAGTTCCTGCTACAAGAAGAGCCCACCAGTTTTGAGTGCTAGAATTCACCTGTGGCATGTTTGAAAAAGTAATAATAAGCCCCCCCCCTACCTG